TTGGCAACTGGCATGTACTTATGCCTGTTGCAGTGTCCTGCAGGGTCATGTGATCCCCTGTTACAACCTTCTGACAAGCCAAGTCAATGAGGGCTAAGATAACCCAGGAGCAAACACAATAAACAGTGGTCTATATTAAATGGTGGATTATCTTACACTATCTACAACAGTGGTTCTCAACCTTTTTAATGCCGCGACCCCAACCGGTTGTAAGTCGAGGACTAAACCGGTCGTAAGTCGGGGACTAAACCGGTCGTAAGTCGAGGACTAAACCGGTCGTAAGTCGAGGACTACCCAACCGGTCATAAATCGAGGACTTTCCCTGCCCGGGAGCGCCACGCATGCGAGGTTCCGCCCCGTGCGCCGGCCGAGGTGTAGCTGGCAAGCAGCAAAGACGGAGCAGGCCGACCACCAGCTGGCCCAGCCCAAGGGAGGTAAGGCACCCGCTGGAAAAGGGGGAAAAAAATGGCGGACAAAAAAAATGGTGGACAGCCTTGCTTGGCAACCCCCGTGAAATGGTCGATCGACCCCAAATGGGGTCCCGACCCACAGGTTGAGAACCACTGATCTACAATATCATACACCAGGAACAATATACATCAGTGATGGCGAACATTTTAGAGACTGAGTGCCCAAACTGCAACCCAAAACCCACTTATGCATCATTGTGTGCTGGGTGGGTGTGGCCCATTGGCTGGGTGTGGCCATTTGGGTGGGCATGGCCCATTGGCTGGGCGTGGCTGCGGTGATAATGGCAGACTTGTTGGGACTAAAAAGTTCAATCAATCAAGTCCAACTTTGCGAGATTTTTTTTTCCTGCGAGAAGTTGAAATTGACTGATTGATTGAACCTTTTTTTTGCACATGGCGGTGAAGGCCTAAAGCGAAAAAGTTTTATAAAACCCAGCTGAAGGCCCAGGACTGGGGCGACAGCACGTGTGCCCACAGACAGGGCTCTGAGTGCTGCCTCTGGCACCCGTGCCATAGGTTCGCCACCACTGGTATACATACACGTGCTAATACAGCAGGATCCAACAAACCACAATTACAGCAGGAAACAGAAGAGAGAGAACACAGCAAAGGCTCTTAAAGAGACTCAGACCCAGCTGGCTCTTAAAGGGACACAGATCCTGCTGAGTCATTCCCATCATTACATCATACATCTTACACTGTATAAGCTGGTTAGCAGTTAAATTATTACCTTGACAAGCTGCAATAATTCACTTAACAACTGAGGCAATAAAATGGGACAAAACTCAAGAGGAAGCCACTTTCAAAATTCTGCCAAGAAAACCGCAGGGATTAAATCAGGCTGTTGCCAGGAGGCAGCATTGACTCAAAGGCACAAATAGATAGATGATAGATAGATAGACAGACAGACAGACAGACAGACAGACAGACAGACAGACAGACAGACAGACAGATAAGCTCCAACTTAGCTTTTCTTGTGATCAGACAAGTAGACTAGCCACTGTCAATTATAAGGCACCTTAAAGTTTTCTAAACTATTGTTATATCCTTGGGCAAAAGCTGAAGAAGACCTAACAGTTTTTCAAATGGCCTGGCAAGTCCAAATAATGGAAATGTTGCAAATGTTTGGTCATCCTCACATTCCCCGGCAGATGTCACTTGATTTTCTCCCTGGCTTGCATGCATTTCGAATTGTGTTATGCCCGGTGAAGTGGGAACAGAACAGAACAGAACAGAATAATAGACTTAGAAGGGACCTTGGAGGTCTTCCAATCCAACCCCCTGCTCAGGCAGGAAACCCTATATCCTTGCAGACAAATGGCTGTCCAGTCTCTTCTTAAAGACTTCCAGTGTTGGAGCATTCACCACTTCTGGAGGCAGGTTGTTCCACTGGTTAATTGTTCTAACTGTCAGGAAATTCCTCCTTAGTTCCAGGTTGCTTCTCTCCTTGATGGGTTTCCATCCATTGCTTCTTGTCCTGCCTTCAGGCGCTTTGGAGAACAGCTTGACTCCCTCTTATTTAGGGCAGCCCCTGAGAGATTGGAAGACTGCTATCCTGTCCCCCCTCGTCCTTCTCTTCATTAAACTAGACAGACCCAATTCCAGCAACCGTTCCTTATATGTTTTAACCTCCAATCCCTCCGATCCTCTTTGTTGCTCTTCTCTGCACTCTTTCCAGAGTCTCAACATCTTTTTTTTAATGCTCTACACAATTTGTGTATTTTGGCAATACTCACTTGCTGGTCAGATGGACTTTTGGTGTGATGCCAAATTCACCGAAGAGGGTAACAAAGACGCTGGCATCCGTCCCTGCTCCTCTGATATCTCCAGTCACCGTCACCACTTCATAGACTGCGAAGGAAAAGGGCAGGAAGGTGACCAAAACAAAAAAAGGTCAGAATTGAGGAGCCATGTAGATTTATAGCTGATGCGAAAATCATGATGAAATGCAGAGTCTGAGTAAATGCAGGGTCTGAAAGCTCCTTTTTTCTATTTTAACACACCTGATTGACTCACCTGAGTTCTGCCAAGGACTTGTTCAATGATTCAGACAGTTTGGAATATATGCAAAGAAAGGTTACAAGGAATTGTCTAGAGTAAACTAAAGCTTCCCAAAGAGAATTGGAGAAGCTGGGACTGTTTAATCAAAGGGGAAGGGAGGGGATAAGGGGATAAGGGGATAAGGGGATAAATGGATGAAGAAGGGAAGGGGAGAGGAGAGGAGAGGAGGGAAAGGGAGGAGAGGAGAGGAGAGAAAGGGAGGAGAGGAGAGGAGAGGAGGGGAGGGGAGGAGAGGAGAGGA